TCCTCTGACAACACACACACACACACACACACACACACACACACACACACACACACACACACACACACACACACACACACACAAATACTTAACTAACATTCATAACGTATTTTAAAAAACGGCGTGACATTTGTATAAAGAAAAATTATATCAATGTATAAATTTAAGAACAGCATTGATTTAAACTAAAAATTTACTCTTGGTATTTTCATTGACTTGTCAAAAGTGTTTGACACGGTTGATCATAAAAAACTTGAATGTTATGGCATAGCAGGTAAAACTATAAGTTGATTTAAAAATCTCTCTAACAGAAAGCAATTCGTTATTAACAAAGACTCCCAACCTGAAACAATAATAAATAAAACATATGGTGTCCCACAAGGATCCATACTTGGTCCACTTCTTTTCATTATGTATATAAATGATCTTAACAAAGAATCCTATTTAAAGACTATAGCTTTTGCAGACACAAACCTGTTTCAGTCACATGAAAATACAAACATACTTTTTAATAATATGAGCAGAAAACCTAACAAAAATTCATTTTGGTTCAAAAAATAATAGACTATCTTTAAAAATTGAAAAAACAAAATTGATATTTTTCCACCCAAACTATAAAAAACAGATACTGCCTATAAATATATCAGACAGTATCTGTTTTTTATTAATAGACAATGTCATCCTAAAAAGAGAAAAGTGACAAAATTTTTAGGAGTTTTTATTGAAGAAAATCTGTCTTGGAAATCACACATAAATAATATTTCTAATAAAGTTGCAAAAAACATTGGAATTTTATACAAATCTAGAGGTATTTTAAACAAAAAGCAATTAACACAGTTATATTACTCTTTTATTCACTGTCATATCAATTATGAAAATATTAAATGGGAAAGTACACATAAAACTAAACTTAAATCTCTTTATCAGCATTAGAAACACGCAGCTCGCATAATAAATTTTAAAAATCGTTTTTCAAACTCTGAACCGCTTTTTAAAGAAATGCATCCTTAAATGTTTATCAACTAAATATATTTAAGATTTTGTGTTTTATGTAGAAATAAAAACTTATGCCCCCCGATGTATCTTTACAAAATTAAACCCCAAAACAAATATAAGCTATGTAATAATAGCATTTAAAAAAAACCTTTTTGCAATAATAAACAAGCTCAATTTTGCATATCTTATTGTGGACCTTTTCTTTGAAATAAAATAGTACGGCCTAATTTTGTTTTTTCATCTAAATTGACCCATTCCTTTTTCAAACAATCTATTAAAAAAAACATTTTTTCAACAAAAAATATTCTTGATTTTTTTTGATTTTTTAAAAAATATTTTTAGTTGCTATACTGCTTATTCATTTGTTTTGAGTTTCACTTCTGATGTAGAGTATCAAATTTATGATATATTTAGTGATTATATATTCTCGGTATATATTTATTTCATATAGTATATAAATGCTTTTATTTTAGAAGAAAATAGAGTTTTGTTAAGAGCTTCGTGATAAGGTCATTACGATCTTCTTGAAGTTCTACCCGTATATTATAATTTTTTTTTTTTTTAAATCTAAGTTTAAAATTAAATTTTATAAGTCTAATGTAAATAATATTATACAGTAAATAAAATGAAAAAAATAAATAACTTGAATATCATAAATAAAAATAGTGCTTTTATAAAATATTTGAAATGAAAGACACTTGAATGTTCAATAATTGACAAAAAACATTATTAATGCAAAAAAACAAAAACAAGTGAAAACGTCCGTGGTATATCTGCGGACATGATAACTGAACTTTATTTGTGAAAAATGTCAAGATATGAGTTAGCTACGCCATATTCTAAAGAAATTCATGAGCTTTCTGATTAAATTATATATTTTTCTAATACAAGTTTAGTCATAAGATATTTACTTTTATTCGTTATCAGAGGCGATTCTACGAATAAATTGTAAATTGAGGTAAAGGAAGGGGGGGGGATGAATCCTTAAAAATTACAAACTGGCTTCACCCGACTGAAATGTGTAAAATACCCAACTGGCTGACTATGTTCCTCAAAAAATTGACTATAACTTGAAAATCATCTTCTTTGAGTAGCGAATTTCACACGTTCTCTACCCATTAAAAGTATACGTTTTAATTTATATAAACATAAACAGATGCATAGATTTATATAACCTTATGATGACAATTCGTTTTAAAGAAACTTCTGGAAGAAATTTATGAGAAATCCAGTTATTGCTTCTAATCTTACAGATGTTTTGATCAATGAAAAATAGAAATAAATTATAAACTCATCTCAAGAAGCTTTAAAAATTATGTTTGAGGGGATTTTCTTGGCCAAATGTAAATTGTTAATGCGTTGCTATGGGGGTTGTCAAGGGCGCTTAAAAATGTAAGGTTCATTAAAGTTTGTTTTCCTCAAGTTATATACTGAATTTTAAAAAATGGTTTTTAAAATATGATTCTATAATAAATTTTAAATAAAATTAAACAACAAAATTTTTTTTTCAAAATTTGATATTTCTGAGGGGTATACCACCTTAAATGTTTTAAAAAAATGCCTAAAAAACATTAAATCTAGATCGATATGACGTTTTATCTTTATTAACCATTACACGATACAAAAATTAATCTATAAAATTTGAATCATAAATTAGGCAATCATCTATCTCAGTAGAGATAAAAACAAATATGTCTAAGAAATGGTTTCCTTGCTTAGTGGTAATAAAAAGTGCAAAATTGGAGAGGATTAGAGTTAAAGCTTGTTGAAACTAATATTAATAGCAGAGTCATTTAAAAAGAATCTGACCATATTTGTGATAAAGATAATGGTAAGTGATGGTAGTTAAATGGTACATGATAAATATTAGTAAAAAATCAATAAGAAAAAAATATTTCGAAATGATTCAAGACCACCTGATTCAATACCTCAATTACAACATTTAAGATCACTAAAACTAGAAATAAAAAATCAAGCAGAATATTAGTTATTATTTTTTAATAGGGGAGACCGGGGCTAGTTGGCAGCAGGGGTAAGTTGATAAACTGCGTTTATCTTCAGAGCCTTTTATCAAAAAGTGACAAAAATTACTCAAAACCTTCCTAATTGACCATCTCATCATTCACTATAGTATTGTCAGGATTCGCGCATGCGCATAGGAGATATTAAAATTTATGGATTTTTTGGACAAAAATGTAACTTTTGGAACATCGCTTTTTACTTTACAAAGAAAATAGTTAGTCGTATGAAAAAAAATTATTTCTAAAAGTTCCAGTCAGACTTTTTTCAAAGTTGCCGTTTTTCAGGATCTATAGACTGCTTATCGAAAAAAAAGCTTTTGAGGTAAGTTGGCAAAATTTTCACGGGGTAAGTTGGCTAATTGCATTTACTATGGAAAAAAATTATATTTTTTAAAATTATGATTATTATTATTTTTTTTTTAATTTTTAACAATGTTTAAAAATTTATTCTTATAAAGAAAAAAAAAATTTTTTTTAGGTTTTTTTTAGACAGATAAAAGTGGGCTACTGTTTTGGCTGTTATACGTAATAATATTTGGTACCAGCTAAAAGTAATATTAATTTTTTGGCTTAAAATCGTTTCCAAAATTAATAGTAAAAAAATTTCTGAAGTCTAAATTTTGCAACTTTCATTTGCGTTAAATGTTTTTAGGGTTTAAAACTTTTTTTTTTAATTTTATTTGGTACGAAATAATAATAATTCCTGATTGTCAATACCCTGAAGGAAAAAATATATATTTTTACGGAAGTTTTTTTCGTTCTCCGGTTAACTACGCCATACATTCCATTAATAAAATTCATCACGTTGGAATGATGGAATTTAAAAAATTTCATTTATTTTCTACTTCTCTTGTATCAAATAATAATGAACATTTATTAATTTAACAATTAATTTTTTATTCGAAACTCTCACCTTTTTTTAAAACTAAATTAAAAGGTTAAATGTTTAGAATAAAAAATTTATTGTTTAAAATTAGCTTAAAATTTATGTATAAAAAGTAATAACATATAGAAAAAATTTTAGACCCCGTTTCGTTTTATATCATAGGAGATTTCAAAGATTTCATTGGAGATCAGTTTAAAGTAACAATTTATCTTTAATCATCAAAAAATGAAATTGTTATTTATTTAAACAAACCTTAGAAGCACTTAAAGAATTGTTGCAGAATAATCGTCGAGAAAAAGTAAATTACAGGTACTGAAAATCAAGCAAAATTTTAACGATTAATAATTAAAAATGCTTAATTACGCATGTGAAGGATAAAAAATGTTGATAGTCTTTGGACATATTCATCTATAATTTTTAGACATAATATCATCCATAGTTTTTAATTTTAGACTATATTGACTAGTATTGGTTTTCAAAGCATATTGAATGGTTGTTGAAACCGTCTTAATAAATGAAAGTGGTAACTAGCAAAAAATCTTAAGTTAATTTTACAAAATTTTCTTTTTTCTTTAATATTATTCCTTATAACTATCTTAAAAAACTGTTAAATAAAATGTTTCAAATAAACTTTTTTGCTAAATAAAATATATCATATAAGCTATGTTCCTCACGCAAAATAATGAACAAATCAAGTTAATAATTCAAGGCTTATTAATTAAAATATCATAAAACAACTTTAAATTTAAATAAACGGATTATCTTTTTTTTTTTGCATTATAAATTTTTTTACATTTGTAAAAAATTTTTATCTCTGTTTGATATAAAGTAAAATATACTCTTTTAACAAATATAGACATCTAAGTAAACGGTTTTTAGTTGTATTTTTTTTTATCAAGTCGCGGTTTTCAATTGCATATATATATATATATATATATATATATATATATATATATATATATATATATATATATATATATATATATATATATATATATATATATATATATATATATATATATATATATATATATATATATATATATATATATATATATATATATATATTTGT